CGATTTTGTAGAGATGTGTATAAGAAACCCACATAGGCGGGTTTCCTTTTAAATTTCTTTTCCAACCACACTTATAGGGTTAAAGTTGGAGTTAGGAAGTATATTATAATAAGGAGCTGGCGACTGAGAGATGTTAAACATCGGAACTAGGAACTGAGGAGACTAAAGCGAATTCTGGTTGAGAAAGACTATCCAGGAGGACGGGTTGACAACTATTTAAAAATATTGCCAAATAGAATGAAGGGAAATACATGTTTGGGGCTAGATAAAAAGATAGATCATTCAACTAGGATCTTTATGCTGCCATCGTGTAATATGTCGAAGAAGATAGGCTATTTACTAAGGAGGCGAAACATCAGGACAATTTATAAAGATAAAATAATACTTTACTTGGTAATGCCTTTTTTTCGAGAATACACTGACCCGCTTTCCAGATCGGACTGCTACAATATTTTGTGTTTATCCGGTAAGGTCTATGTGGGAGAGACCTGTAGGCCATCATTTAAGAGGTTATCCGAACGCAAAACGGTCTGCAAGGGTATATGGGTCCAACACATGGCTAGTACAGGACACCAGATAGATTGGTCTAATGCCAAACACTTAGTTGGATATGGTGACTACACCAGCAAGCGAAAGATTAGGGAGGAGATAGAAATCAACAAGACAGTCAACACCTTGAATAGGAGGAATGAGTGTACGGATTTAAGCGGAGACTACTCGTGGCTGTTGGATAGGTGTAGAGGGAGAGAGTGGAAATCGAAATGTATCCTTGAGCAAGAGGAGGAAGTTTGATTAGGCTGGAATCTGGTTTTGACTCTCACATCACATTCAGTTCGAGAGCAATGCACTCTCACAACACGTGTGCAAGGAGACGCAATCACATGCGGTAACATTGCAGGATCAAAGGCATAAGTGTTTTAGCGGAGGGTGTAGCTGTTCAGTCTCAATTTCACACATTTCACGCTTCATCTATGGCCACTTCATATGTCATCCACCATCACTTAACTTAACTTAAGAGCAAATATAGAGACAAAGCATATGACATCCAACCAAAACGAGATGCCCAAGTGGACCAAATTTTACTATAAGAAGGAATTAGTTTTGAAGCCGGCCACCTTTCTTGCTTTCATGTTTTTGGTGAATTGTCGTTAACCATGATGTCTTGCCCTGACGATGCCCGTCACATGACGGACAACAGCCCACCAAGGATTCATCGTTGTCGCAGGGCGGTGCACCGAGGACTTATTCGTACAAATGTACAACCACAGCTCCAAGGCAACCCCCTCAGCCTTCGGTGGAAACAAGTACGAATCACTTCCACTCGCCCCTTCAAGCGGAATTTAAGACACTCCAACACAAATGTTTTTTCAAAGGTATGAAGACCAAGATGGTGTAACCTTTTGTGTGGTCACAGTCTCCTTTCCTTGTATAGAGGTTGTTTGACCTTGTTTTCGCAACATGGTCATATTGGCAGGAAGTCAGAGAAGAACGCACCTAGTCCGGAGTCCATTGTCTGCATGATCATTTCCAAAGTTTAACCGTGGACGTGGTACATTCCCTAACGTTTCGCCGGCATCGTCAGTGAGTATCGCCATTCTTAGCACCACACAACAAATCGTCAAAGAGACAGGGCAGAAGGGGAGATACCACAACTTTTTAGCACACGCTTGGTCAAAGGATCGGCTTCACTTGCCTCTTTGACGAGTTGTAATATGGTGCTTCGAATGACGAGACTCACTGACGATGCCGACTACCATGCCGGCGAAACGTTGGGGAATGTACCACGTCCACGGTTCAACTTTGGAAATGATGATGCAGACAATGGACTCCGGACTAGGTGCGTTCTTCTCTGTCTTCCTGCCAATATGACTATGTTGCGAAAAAAAGGTCAAACAACCTCTATACAAATGTTTTTTGTTTATAAGTAGACTTCGAGACTACAAGCTGATTATATATTTTTGATGCATTTACCCGATTTTGTTTGATTAAATTATACATAAGGTGTGCTTATCCAAGGAATACTGCAATTTTGGCCTTGTATATGTCTCATCAACACCCACAGCAGGACTTGAATTCTGGTAGTGCTGCGTATACTTTTGGCACTTTAACCACTATTATACGCTGTCACGGGTGCCCTTGAGTCATAGGTCAAACGTGCATTCTAAGGAAGGTATGGAATTTCCTATATCACATTCTTCTGGTAGGATTTTTGATGAAGCAAAGTTGTATTTGATATTGCAATTGATTGCATTATTTATTTTTCATTTATAAGTATATTTTGAGACCACGAAGGGATCTCATAAAGGAGATATATTTACCATATATATTGTTTAAGGTGATGAAGGATTCGTACATTAACTTTTCCAAATGCTACGAATAGGCTTCAACTTTGATTTGTGACTTAAGGCA